CCAGACTGGAATGACAGCGCTGATGCAGCCAGTCCCAACGCCTCCAATCAATCTGGCACAGAGCATCCAGTTCGCGTTCTGAGCTGCGCTTTGCATCGACTGACCAAAGATGCCCCAAAGACAGCCGAAGAATATAGCTTTGCGTCGCCCAATCTTATCAGACAATGCACCGCCCCTATTCAATGAACCTCACATTCAGGATGATTAGAGACAGAGTAAGTGGGCAGAGCTTACATCAGTGCTCCAAGGAGGGTACCGAGATAGTATATCGAGACAAGGCCACCTTGTTTGGTCGGTCTAGTGATTTGGCCGGTCGCGCCGTCGCCGATTTTGACAAGGTCCTGCGCTTCGGTCAGTGGTTTCTCTCGTGGGTAGTTCAGTCATCACGTACAATGTACGACGGACTGATATTGACTCCGGACATTACACCCTGGTCATAACCCTCGAACATGATGCCTAACCCAGCAACGAGGCACACGCTGAGGCCATGTCAATTCAGCAAAACATAAGGACGAGTGACGAATTTGGACTTACGCCCACACCATATGACGTCCGTACAGAGGCATTTTCAGTGTCGTGGAGCGTTGTTGGAAATTTTACGAAGGAATCTGTCTTTACTTGCAGAATTTCGATGATGGCAGCGTGGGGTACTGTCCTGGTACTTATGTCCCTGTACCGACTTCACCAGGCGCGCTTAAATGAGGAGATGTATGTCGCAGCCCACGTAGACCCTCGTGCCATGCTATCTGCCACGGGAGTACCAAAACGGTATCCGGCAGATTGGAACTGGAGCTGCCTGCCATCGTAACCATCGCGATAGCCTATGCATACTGGGGAGCGCAGATCACTCATAGTGCTGACCTGCCCTGCCTCTGCAGTGGGCCTTGGTGAAGTATTATGTCTCAACTGGAACTAGCAGCCAGCTCAACGGCACTCGGGCTCAGGATCCTCTGGTTAGTGCGTAACTGGAGACACACGTCGCCCTCTCATTCATGCGGGAAGATAGGTTGCACATGTAGCCAACCTCCCAGGTTAAGTTAGGTATGAAGTTGAATCACGGTTTCTCCGCATTGCCGCCGTCGAGCGCCGTATTGGAGGAAGACTGACATGGCGGGTCGGAAACCTACCGGTGGACGCCGGCACCCCCGCTATCCCAGCATTGCACTAAGAAAGTCGCTTACCTTCCTTAGACTAGGTTCTTTTTCTACGTCTTTATCTCTCCACATCAATAACAATGATCAAGTATATGATTGAAATAGCTTAGAAACTACAGAAGCGCTGGGAGCCTATATTCTATATGTAGTGCACTGCCCCCCCGGAAGAGGTCCACCGTATCTTGGACATCACCCAAAAAGACCGAGAATCCTGTCTTTCCGTGATAGAATCTTGGACCTCTTCGCTACATATTTGTCATGAACCCCCGTTCATAATACTGCCACAGCCACATCACCGGGTAGGGTATCAAGGCGAGTAGAGAGACTCTATACTCCAACACCCAACGGCGTACATATACTCTATCCTCGCCTGTTCCCGGTCGTTAGCATATAGCCGCTAAACCAATTGCCGCATAGATCGGTGATAGGCAAAGGTCATGAACCTATCTTCGCTTACCGGCATTTCCAATTCCAGAGTCTCCTCATCCGAGGAAAACGGGTCACGATTCCGGGTTGCCCTTTTTGGCTTCGGCTATGGTTGCGAACTGGACTTTCCCTCACGTTAGCGAAGCTTGCGGGAAGGGAATAGGGAACCCAAAAAGTGCACTGGAGCGTGAAGACGTATATGCGACCCATTAACCTAATTGGGAATCTCCCTTTGGCCTACATTATGCTGATTTGCATCAACCAGCGCGATATACCCGAAAGAAACTGGCGAGTTAAGATGATGGCCAACATTCACTCTTCAGCCGTCGGCGTCATGGCGTGGCTTGACATTTCGACCGCGGGGAGTAAGGTGTCTTTCAACTGCATAGACAGGGCACGCAATTTGCTCCACCAGAAGGCCAAGTATTCGGTGATTCGAAGAGGCCAAAAGACTAGCAACCCTGCTATTTTCAGCCTCATCAGCCGGCAACTGGGGGTCACCTGTGGATTATACGGGAAGTGCTACTTGCTCAGAATCTCTGGATTATGGCGGGTTCTAGGTCCACCGATTAAGATACACTGAAGTATCTCGCCTGACCCGGTCAACCATACGCCAGGAACCACTTTGACGAACAGGGCGCGAACGGGCTAGTTTTCACGTCAGTTCGGAAAATGGAACAAGCCAAAGATATTGCAAGACCGAAGGACGAACTCGTACGCCCAATCCACGCAGTTCTTTTTTTGTTGCCAGGATCTAAGAGACAGACTCTACGGTCTCTTGATTTTGACTGAAGAATTCACTCGAGCAGCAGACTGTTGTCAAGCCCGGCCACGCCGTTCTACAGGTTTCCACAGCTAGTTACGAGCTGTGGTCAGATGCAACAAATTGGTCCCAACAAAAGGCAGCGAAAGGCTCCTATGGAACCCGATTTCACTGATTTTCGAGCGAATTTAGACTATTGGCCCCGTGGAACAAATTTGTCCCCATGGGAGGTATCAAAAACCTCCTTTCGGAACAACACACGATCCAATCATCTTCATCATAGCCCATGGATGCTGTCTACTCCGACTTGACCCCGCGAGCTAGACAAGATACGTCAGGACATAGCTTTTGGTTCTCATCTCTCCGCAGATATGATATGGCAAGCTGATTTTGAACACTCTGGAACTAGCTTCTACTAAACCTTGGTGGCGGCGGAGACCTCGCGTTCAACTATGATGCCCTTCACCAGATCCCAAAAATTCGTTTGAAGTTAAGTATCTGTGTATATATTGGGGTAACAATGAATGGTCCGGCATGTAGCAGAGTCCTTTCTATTGTTAACATGACAACCCCGCCGGGAAATGGCGACGTCTTCCAACACCTTTCTAAAATGGTCAACGCCCTACGGCTATCTTGAGATGAGTCTCGGGATCGCCTGTACCGAAGTCACCGTTCACGGGGACGGTCTTAGCCTGCCAGATCCGAGGCAATGGTTTCAACATCGAATTCCTGCTGCTCGCTATACTTTCATTCCGGATTCCTGGCCCAAATCATCTTCATGCCCACGTCCATCTAAGCACGCCTGTAATTACGGAATCGTCGAAGAGTGAGTGTGGTTTGGACATGAGATTGACAACCTGTCGAAGATGGTATGGTTTGGGATTGCTCAAAGGACATGGCCTGTCTACGCTGCATTCTGAACTCTGGGAATACGAGAAGTACAGCGGGTCTTTCTTCTGGCTCGTTGTAGAGACGGGGACTTGTCTGGAAACTGACACTTTGCTCCAAGCACACCAGTATGTGTCCAATCGAGCGCAGCATAGATGTGGCTCCATTCTGTATTAGAGGTGCAAGGCCCGAATTTAATGGTATGTTAGCCCTATCGCGTGGTGAAGCTTACGGTCTTCCTTGCCTGTACGGGAAGAGGCTGCGATTGTTCAGCTTGCTAGAAAACTTGGCCTTGCTGAATCTGAGCTCGGACAGGTTGATGAGGACCTAGAAGAGACGCAGCCAGAGGAAAAGGCTGTGCCCGCATTGACAACGCCCTACAAAAGAAAGTGCAAATGCCCAAGAAATGCCCCCTCGATAATGGGCCTTGCCAGCTGTCGGACTGGCCAGTTGACTTGCACGCTTAGCGTAACAATCGGCAAAGCTTTGCAGCCACTCACCCTTGAGGGTCGCGACCTTGCGCAGGCAGCCTATGAGCTTGTCGCATGAGAAACCTGCGGAGAGTAGTTTGGATGTTCGATTGTAGTCATGTGCACCAATGGATTCTCAGATAAGACCCTGTCGAGAACCAGTCCCAAACATCTTGAAACCCAAGATCGGTGGTTGGTGGCTTAACTGTTCGTAATCTTGAGGTTTATGTCCTGTCTGGACGTTTCGATTGGACTCTTTCTCATCCAGGTAGTACGTTGAATGGTTCGCGCTAGTTTATCTTGAAGTGGCTGCTCACTGCCTTTCGATAGTCGGGCCATTGTCTTGTCACGGCTAAGGCTTTTTCTGGTACCGCGAGCAGCTTTCATCTCAGCGACATCCCCCTTTCCCTCCTTATCCTTCATCTGAGCCAGTTGTCAAGTACTCGGAGTCATCCAGTGTTGGCAACATGCTGAATTATATCTCTGTTTCTCTGAAGACGCTTGGTTGAACTTATGACTGATGTTCCCATACCGTTCCATTGCCAGCCTTGGCCCCTAGCCTTAACATAGCGTTGTAAATCCAAAGCGTGATGGTCTGCGACGTAGCCACAACAGAATCTTGACTTTGTGTAGTGAACTCCTTGCTCAACACAGATATGTCCTTATCATCTTGCTTGAGTGGACGATCGCGTCTGAGGAAGAGCTTTTCCCTAATACTTCGTACTCCATTCCACTCGAAATGAAAGATTTCATATGCGACGAAAGAGGCTTTTGCTTTGAAGAACCCAGGACTCTTCGAGACGGCTGGGCTGATGACCCTCTAATGTCCTATTCGTCGGGGAAATGTCTGTCTCCACGGAGCTTCTAGAGAGGCGCCACTCAATATAAGCAAGGTATGCCGACAGACCATGCCTCTGAAAAGCTTTTTGTTAAGGAAAGAAGACTCTGGAGTTATCTTCACCGATGGATCTCTATCCAATGCCGCCAAAGTTCTCAGAGGAGAGCGATCGTCTACAAGCTCTAACAAGATATACCGCTCTCGCTGCTGCTGGGACGGCAACAATGGGTAGTGCGGCATATTTTTGGATTGGCACGATCTGCGTTCCTCTTGGCCCGGAACTGAGGCGCAAAGCTATGATGCTGATGAGAGAAGGATACACTCAAGCAGAGATTGTTCTGGTTCTCGACAACACTCTTCTGCGCAAAAGCTTGAATGTGTCCGCCGAGGAGTTGAAGCTACGCATATTCTCTTGTACCTGGTTCCGGAGAATGTGGACACTTAAGGAGTTTGCTTCCACACTACTGTTTCAATTTCTCGGAAGGCGTTGTTCCCCTGACCGATTTGGTGAGTGTGAATCTGTCGTACGATATCATTTCGGCCACCAGCACTGGAACGGTTGAAGGCAATACCAAGATCGAGTCCAGCCGAGAGAATAGCTTTATCTTCGTCGGTAATTCGTCTCTTTTACCATCGTTCAACCTCTCAGAAAACCGATGAGCCAATCTGCTTAGCAACTTTGCTAGGCCTTGACCTAGCATAAGTAATGAGTGGTGGAGCAGCTCAAGGCCTGGAAAGGTTGCTTCTGCTGTAGAAAGACTTTTCTCCGACCGTCCTGTGTACTTTAAGTCCGCAGATGGAGCGGCCAGGTTTTCGATGGGTACCAACAACTTTTCGTCGGCGATGGAGCGCGACACAACTCGATCTCTTTGACGAACCAAAGCATACAACAAAAGGCCCTCACGCCTATGTCACAAAGTTAGGCCTCGTATGCTCCTTACCTGGCATCGTCATTCTGAAGCTTCCCCAGTTGGACCGCCCAAGCTTCATTGTCATAACTCCTTCGAATCACGGGTTCGTCGTAAAGTTTCTGGAAACGTGGATGGATCGGCCGATCTTCGAGCGCCAGCTCAGTGCTGTACCTCCACTCCGTATGGGTGAGCAGATATGGAATTGTCTCGAAAGACATGCCGCAATATAGTATTCCCTACTTCAATACGTGTTCGAGGTTTAGGCCAATCCCGGCATCCCTCTCAGAGTACAGGTTTCGGTGCCTCTCTGTCCGTCAATCTCGTTTCTTGATACTTGAGAGCTGGCCCGTTTTTTGAGCGTACGGCGAACAGGGCTACTAAACAATTGCTTCACAGAGTTCGCCATGGGCAGCAGTACTTACAAGGATCAGTCAACGAGCGCAGCTCTTCGGAGCGATCATTTCCGTGGGTCGTTGGTACCGGGTGGGAGCCAAGGGGGTAGGGACTTGTCAGGGCACCGAGGGTCACTACATGTGAAAATTATCTGAAACAAATGCCTAGCCGAGTGGCAGGTCCCCTTTCTATCTCAGTGCGATGCTCAGGGAGTGCTCAGGGAGCACTGGATCATTTAACGCTTAGGCTAAAGCAGCCTTCGCTCGCCCTCTAGGATCATGCCGTATACAGCAGCTAGTTTTTTCGTTCTCGAATAATACAGGTCCTTAAGTCGTCGAACGTAACGCGTTAGATCTCTATAAAACTTTCCTTCTATTGCCAATTCTGGATCCTGTAAACCATTTGAAATGCCTGCCTCATCCGTCTCTATATATTCATGCTCATGTGACTGTGGAAATAGTACCGGGTTACACATGCCCAGAACGTACATAGGTAGCTAGGTAGTTAGTTTGGGCGGGAAAGCAAAAGAAAAAGACGAAAAACCTGTAGAAATGAATGCCCACCCCAAAGCAAACCTGCAAGAAAAGTCCCGTAGGGATATTGGTCAAGCGACTCTTTCGTGAGCAGATCTCCTCCCACTTACCTTTCCTTCTTTGCTTTTAGCTTTGTGCACTTCGTTCTCATGCCAGATGCTCCACAGACAGCACAAGACACCCAGTACCGCGGCACCAAAAGTCACCCAGTAGGCAGATTGGTAACACTCCTTTCCGACAAGACACTCCATATGTCCTTCATCTTCGTTTCGGACCGAATGCGCGTCGTAGATCTTTCCGTAGAGGATATTAAAGATGTTGCCAGAGATGACAGGTGCGAGGGTCATAGTGCCCCAGTTCTGGGAGAGGCCATGAACGCCGAAACAATGCGCAACAAGGCTCGGGTACACTCCAAACAACATCCCATAGGCCAGACCCGTCAGACCTGACACGAGCACAAGATAATGGGGGTCTGAAACGATTGTGGCAACCACCTGCGCCGCGCAAAAGGTCAGCGCGGACACAAATAGACACCAAAACCGAGATCTGTCAAGTCTCGCCACGAGGATGTCGGAACCGATGCCCGACAGGAGCCGACCACTGAAGCTGCAAAAGGAAAGAATAGAGACGTGCATCGCTTGACGACTTTCGATAAAGGATGCCGAGGTGGAAGGGTCGTAGTGATTCCAGAGAGCTTGGGCGTCGTTGCCGATGTTGCTAGGTAGACATGTTATGTTAGCAATGCCCGCCTTTCGAGTAATGTTTGGAAAATAGGATCCAAGGCTTACTTGATGGTCATTAAACCGATGCCGGTCATCAAGCCAAGCATCAAGAACAACTGCCAGAACTCGGCGTGGGGTAAGAGAGCGAAGCCTCGAATGTCTAAATGCGGATGTTCATGAATCCTGTCAGACTCCATGTGCTTTGAACTTTCAAGGTCTTCGACGTCTTGTTCTTGACTGGAAGTTTTGGAGAGTAAGGAAGATTCCTCGTCTCCGTTATTGGCCTCGTGGTCTTGGGACTGTTCTGTGCCACGAATTGAGGACTGGGCCTGGGGTTTTCGTGTGTGTGGCGCACCTGGTTCTTCGAGATGAGGAAGGTGGCGACTTCCTGGTGATCTGGTTCGGTGGAGGACTTGTTGTCGTTCGTGCTGAGGGAGGTGATGGTAGGTGTGAGGTAGTATGACACGCATGAAAGGAAAGCACATCAAGGGGAGGACAACTGTCCCCGTGGCGAGAAGAATGAGAAAGTTATATGTCCCACCGGGAAGTAATTGCGCGACAGCAGCGAAGAACAAGGCGCTTAGTCCGAAAGCCGCAAGTGGAAACGCTGTTGCGGTTCCTCGAGATTCGGGATAGTTGAGGGCGGCTGCTCAGAGTCAACATTGTAGTTCATTGAGCGCAGACAGATTTAGAGGGTTATGTATACCGGCCTTGATGGATGCTGTGAAGGCTGAACAACTCCCAGCACCCGTGAAGAACGAGAATAAACAGATCAATGCCACGCTATAGTGTCCAGGACCGGCGTCGTATGCTAGATCGTTGTCAGACAGGCCTGGTCGTCGCAGTCGGACACGGAGAACTCCGGAAGCAGTACTCGGTACCTTTGGCAATTGGATAATATCCAGCAGCGAACAATACAATGCCCAAAGCGACTCCCCATCGTGGACCTTTTGCATCGACCATCATACCGGAAGGAATGCCAAAGGCATACATCCCCAAATTGCCCACCGTTCCCTGCACAAACCCGGTATATCAGTCAGGGGCCCCTTCTCTTGGATATATGTTGGTAGGAGGCATTGCGTACGATGAGATTGCTGTCCGTGGCAGTCAACTTGAGGCGAGATGCGAAACTAGGACCCCATATGGAGTAACCATACTAGGATTGCGGTCAGTAGTCGTCTTATTGCGGGGGAGCGAAGTTGCGCACGTTGGAACCACAAGCCAATGCAGTGATGGTACATGCAATCACGGTTAGGACTCGGGCCTTCTTATGATCTGATGTGAGTATCATCTTGGGAAGCTCTGGTGGGAGATGGCAATGGTCACCGCGTCATGGCCGATGGAAAGATAGATCTGGCTCGCCGGAGTCCCGGGGGGGTGAGAGGTGATGAGAGTTGAGGTGAGGGAGCAGTCGATGTTGGGACACCAGAAATTCGTCAGTCGGCATTGGATCCGATATCGAACATGGTCTCTTCTCAGAACGTTCAAGCGTGGGAGGAGGACGTAATGGGTCTCTCGGCTAACCTGCCTCTGTCGTCCTCTGGGCATCCGATTTCCCGGCCTCCACTGACCTCACTGCCCGACACTCCTCACGCTACTCACTTTCCCAGTTGTCGCCTGCGCTTCCTCGCTCTCCCATCAACAACTACACCACCACCGATCAATCCAGCATCGTATTTTATGTAACCGTGTAACGATAAGAAGCGTCCCGCTGTCTCGACTGGCGGCTTCACACAAGCCCTCACCCATCGATATCCGCGAAACCTTCGAGCACGAGACCCCTCCTCGCCTTCCAAGATGGGCGGCGTCCTCGCTATTCCAGCCCTTATCCTGCCTTCTGCGGCAACCTTATGGTCGGTGGCAGCCTCTTGCTGTGGTGCGGCATCATGTTCCATGATTTGTGGGCCTTGCGGCATGTCCAAGTTCCGATCCTCGATCGCCACAAGAATTGCCTACGCCATGATTCTGCTGGTCAACAGTATTCTGGCTTGGATAATGCTCACACCTTGGGCTATCAAGAAACTGGAACATCTCACCCTCGATTATATGACATTCAAATGCGGCTCCTCCGAGTGCTACGGCTATTTTGCTGTCCAGCGCATCAACTTCGCCTTGGGCATGTTCCACCTGATCCTTTCCATCCTTCTCATTGGGGTCCGAAGCACCAAAGACACTCGAGCCGCTTTGCAAAATGGCTTCTGGGGTCCGAAACTGCTGGTTTGGATCGCCTTCATCGTCGTCTCTTTTTTCATTCCCGAGGGTTTCTTCTTGTTCTGGGGAAATTATGTCGCCTATGCGGGGGCCATGCTTTTCGTCCTCCTGGGCCTCATCCTCCTGGTCGACCTCGCGCATACGTGGGCAGAACTCTGCCAGGACAAGATTGACGAAGGGGATGGACCAAACTACCGGCTGTGGCAGGTTCTACTAATGGGGTCGAGCTTGGGCATGTATCTGGCTGCATTCGCCATGACCATCGTCATGTACATCTTCTTTGCCAGCAGCGGTTGCAGCATGAATATTGCCGCCATCACCATTAACCTGGTCCTCCTCTTTATTGTCACATTTCTCAGCGTCCAGCCGACTATCCAGGACGCAAATCCAAAGGCTGGTCTGGCACAGTCGGCCATGGTGGCAGTCTATTGCACCTACCTCACGTTCTCAGCGGTTGCAATGGAGCCGGATGACAAGCATTGCAATCCTCTCATTCGTGCCCGGGGTGCACGGACTACCACTGTCGTGTTGGGTGCGATTGTTACCATGCTTACGATTGCTTACACCACTACTCGAGCGGCCACTCAAGGATTCGCCATGGGGTCGAACACTGGAAAGAACAAGTATGCTCAACTAACCCAAGATGAAAACGAGCACGGCCTTGTATCTCAGCAGCCGGCGTCACGTCGTGAGATCATGAGAGCGGCGGTGGAAAGTGGGGCGCTACCAGCGTCCGCCTTGGACGAGGATTCGGACGATGAAGACAATACCGAAGTGAGCTCCAAGGATGATGAACGCCAAGGGACGCAGTACAATTACAGCTTATTTCATGTCATCTTCCTTATGGCGACATGCTGGGTGGCGACGCTTTTGACGCAGAAGATGGACCCGGAGAGTTCGACCGACTTTACACCTGTCGGCCGGACATATTGGGCAAGTTGGATCAAGATCATCAGCGCATGGTTGTGCTATGCCATTTACAGCTGGACGCTGGTTGCGCCGATCGTGCTCGAGGGGCGAGACTTTTCGTGATGATGATGGGCCGGGTTTGCCTGGTGTATGACTACTTTGTGCCTTGTCTGTTTGGCGGATGCCTAAAAGCCGGTTGGCCAAAACCAGGAATTATTGTATAGCGGTCGTACCAATATGATGGACGAGTCAGCCTGGTGGACCTGTCGAATTTTGTCAGTGCGTTTCAGAGCTGCGTAGCAATCCATGATCATCTCCCGCCCCTGTCCGCCGCTGCAGGCCTTACCAGAGCAGCATGAGTGATCGAAGGCGATGCATGTGAGCTTACTTACCTTACTCACCCCTGTCCTGTCCTTTTGCTTTGCCCTCTGGCGTGAACCAATCATACTCTTCCGCAAACTCCGGCCCTGACAGGAACTACACTGGCTTAATATGTCGCAGTGCAGATGTAACATGTGCCGTCCCTGGAAGAAAGGGGCTGACCCTGAGTCTCTGACCGCTGCCCGTGGCAGCAAGCAGGGCGTTGGCAATGTCACGATGCTGCTGACTCAACAAACGGGGTCCCTCGTACATATCTCAGGGCTCGAGCTCTATGGTACATATGTAATATGTTATCCATTTTGGCTATTCCGCCCCATGCCTGGACCCCCTGACCGTGAGTGGAGATTCTGGAAGGGCAGGTACAGGAGGTGCTAAAGCACTCCGTCCTACCCATGTACCCGGACGCGATCCAGGTTATAGAATGGCCCGTGGTATGATTGACCCCCCGGCCAGGTGCCTCACCACCAGGCCCCGTACATATGCAGGCGATCTTTGCTTCCTATTGCACGATCTCATCCCTCGAGGCCTTTCTTTGCGTTTTCCTTTTCTTATTTTTTTGTGGGAGAACGTTCCGGTCGGGTCCCGAAAAACTACCCAAGGAACCCTGCAAGGAATAGTACATAACACCCCGCTATAGCATCTGGGGGACGCTGGTCTACCTGACTAGGTACTGTGCGGTATGTAAGCATGTAAGCGTATAAGCATGTATGTTCTCTGCTGCCCTATCGACCACCTGCCCGTTTGGGACTATGCATACCTATGCATCTGGCATCGTAGCATCCATCAAGGTCCGCATCCACGCTTTCCGAGTCCTCCAGGAACTGCGCTGAGCCGGTGCGGTAGTTCAGGCCGGAGCCTTAGCTTCATTTCCAGCTCCAGTTCCGGCTTTGATGGTGCAAGTCATCCTTGTGCTCGTGTTCGTGTTCAGGTCGGTAGGGAGGCAGGCACGCAGGCATACCTCCCCCGGATCCTGGATCGAGCTCACCGTGTTCATGTAGTCGTTTCTTCAACATCCCTTCTGCTGCGACGGGAGAGATATGTATTATGTCTAACCGGCCGTTACGTACGGGGAGGATCTCGGGGAGTTTTGATTATATGTGCAATGGATCTATCTGCCTTCCCACTGCGCGGCTCATTGTGTCTCGCAGGAAATCAGCAATTCTTTTTTCGTTGAATATATTTTAGATCCTCATTGCTCGGGCTGCGACATAAGTCTAGCAGCTTTTCTCCCTCGGGTTGTGCAGATGGAAAACATCATTTCATACATTGGCACCGGCACCGGCGTCGTCATCAATCAGTGAAAGAACGAGGTTGCATAGCATCATAATTAGTCTGCTACACTTCCGCCAGAGGAACAAGCCTTTCCTTCAACTACGTCCTTGCGAAATCTCGCACCTCCCAGCGAGTCAGACGCTGCCTCGAGCAATTTGCTGTGGAGGACAATGTAACAGAAGGGGAGATCAAGATAAAGAAAGGGCGACTCTTGATAAAGACCATTATGGCTACAGCCAAATCACTCGGCTCTCCCCCCAATCGATGCATCGCGACCGACCAATCTGGCAAGCACCGTGTCATAGCAACGGCCCCGAGCAGACACGAAGGCCCAGGCTCGGGGAAAGCTCCTCAGCTTCCGTTCGTGATGATGTCGGCAGCAGAATTGGATTTCACCTCAGGGGCCCAGTCGCCTCGGCGCAAGAAGCGGCCCGCAAAGGGCGACCCTCGCCCCCAGTCGACCTTGCCCGTCGTCTCGTTCAGGCCGTTTCCTGACAGAGGCAATTCGAGGGTGGGCGCGTTTGACGCCCTTCTCAGTAGAAAGACTCCGCCGTCTATTGCCATGGCACTCGACTATCGTACGAGACACTCTATTCACCTTTTCTCCACGAGACGCACGTCGACTCGCTGACTGCTTCGCGACCCCTTAGTCTTGCATACCGAGATTTCCAAACCAAGCACGAGCGATCTGCGTCACCAAGTAACACAGGTGTACCTCCCGATCTTGCAAATGGCTACGCAGCATGAAGACCTCTTTGAGGCGCTCATGGCGTGCGCGCTGGCCTTTCAAGGAATTCGACGAGGGCGGCTCGGAATCACACCTGCCATTGCCTGTCACAGCAGTCGGAGCATTACATGCTTGCGGAAAAAGCTCGATGGCCTCGCGACTTGCCCTGACGACGCCGCCATATTGACAACGATGCTTCTCACCGATGGGGCGGTAAGGGTCTTCCTCTTTCCCTACTATGGGTCTTTACTTCCGGCCCCCTGACGGACTGTGCAGACCAAGTATGGGACTCGGGCAGAGGTGCTCACTCATTACAGTGGACTCAGAAAGATGGTCAACATGAGAGGCGGACCGGAAGCGTTGGCAGGCAACGCACCTTTGAAGGCGATGCTTGAATAGTACACTTCCTTAGTTTCTCACGTGAGGGGTATCGACTGACAGAAGACCAGTGCTGAGCTCGTTGCCGAAATGCTGGCGATTCCCAAAGCAAATGAAAAGCTCGTAGAACTTGATGACAACGACAAGCACCAGAGGGCGGACTCTCGCGTGCCAGGATGGCAATTGGATTATCCTACTCACCCATTTCCCCCGGGTCTTTGTCACGACATCTCCAACCTCCCAGAAGGGTTCAGAGAAATGGCTTTGTCCCTTCGTCTGAGCAGGGAGGTGATTCGACTGGTCATCGCCGCCAGTCGTCAAGCCTTCGTCGAAGCGTGGGGGGTTCATCAGTCGCGGCCTAGGATCTGCTGTTCGTCGATGGTGCTGATGTACTCGAGAAAATACCTTGGGCAGTCGAGCCGCGTGACGGAGCGTATTGTTTGCCTGAGCGTGCTGATAAGCTGCATGCGCTCCGTGTCGTTTGCATTCGGGGCGGAAGAACTCCCTCTGCTGGAGCAGCTTGTGTCCCTCGCAGCGCAGCGCGGCTTCGAAGAATCCAGCGCGGACCAGGAACATCATTATATGTGGACGGTGATTATGACGGCCGAAGCATGCCGACGAGGGTCGCTTTCCAGCCTGGCGGACCAACTCGTGTGCGATCTCCTGGAGTCCAAGGCGAGGAATGGCATGACGGCGCCTGGCCTCCTCAGCAACTGGACCAGGTTGGAGGGGATCCTGAAGCGGTATCTCTGGAGGCAGGACCTGTTGGACGAGTGGAGGAGTGTTTGGGTGACGGCGCTGGGCAACCTGCACTTGGGGGAACGAGGCAAAATCGTAAAATGCCCCAGTCCCAGCGTCAGTACAGCCACCAGCCAGCCCTTCTCGTAGTGACGCCAATAGTAGCAGTGATAGCAATGGTGATGGTGATTACTAGCTAGATAGAGATGATGAAAAGCCCAGTCCAATCGTGGTGCACCGTGTCGAAAGAGTGCCATCACCACAGCTCATGTCGAGGAATTCGGTGAGCTGGCTAGGTTGGATCACATCGTGATCGACAGGGCGGCTATGTTGCCATTTGGATGTTTTTCCTGTTAATCCATCCGCATTGGTTCCCATCATCCATGCATCCATTCTTCCGTGTTGAAGACTTCGGCGCGTCGCCCAAATCGGGTGAAAGTAGGGAGTATGTACCTATGTGCCTGCTCCTTACTAATCGCTGGGGCAGCGGGGCGATGGGGTTCCAAAAATGCAAATCTCCTCGGATCGAGCTAAGTGCTTCGAATCGGCGCCGTGACTAGTTTCGATAACTCCGATGGCTCTGATAGATCGACCCTTGTTCAGCTGCGCAAGGGCATCAGACAGGTGGGAGGCGGGAGGCAGGAGTCGAGAGTGAGAGGTGGGAGGCGAGAGGCGAGATGCGAAGAGGCGAGGTCACTCAGGCTGTTAAGCCGAGGATGGAGACTCCAGAGACGAGACAAGGATGGATCAAGTTGAGATGGATGGTAATTGGCAAAATGGGAGAGTTCCCAAGGGCGGTGCAAGTGCGTCGAGTGTCAGCTCACCTGACTTTCATATGATCCACCGTACATCTGCGCCTGGTAGTGATGTAGCTCGCCATACTTGGGTACTCATCCGTCATCCCCCTTTACCTATTTACCTTGCTGTTCAATACCCCCATGGGGGATCTCAAGTTCCAACAGACTCATTCATTAAAGCCTACCTCATCGTGTAGTACCGAGTACGTACATGGTATTCCAAATCCACGCATGCACGTCCCGAAAGCTAAAGACCTTGTCTCTCAAGTCTTCACACACGTCTGTGACCGGGCGTCATCGTATTTCTAGTTCTTGCATATGCAGTGTCACCAACCATGCGGAATCATTTTCCACCTTGCCCTCCCCCGGACTCCATCACTTCCCATCAATCAAGACATTAGCCGCATAACGCATCCTTACAGGCAGAGACTGGTACCGGTAGGGACTTGGGTGACACAGAGCCGGGAACAGAATAAAGACAGACAGACTCTATTTCCCTTTCCCGGCTTCCACGGATCCAACGACTCGTGTCTCCGAGTTCTGAGAATTTGTGTCATAGACTGACGGTGTGGAGAGCTCCGACCCAGAGGAACCGCAGCAGCAGACCGAGACTACAGTGAGTGCTCTCTGTCTCTTGATGGCTCTCGTGTACATTACCCCCCTGTTGCCTTGTCTCCTATTTCTTCCGAGGAGGGTAGTATGCAATGGCATGGCACAATATCAAACTTTTCGGAAGAATTCAAAGACAGAAACTATTATGGAGAAGGACTGGATGAAAGAGAAGAGGAAAATCTGCAACGGCAGTAGAAGAAGAAGAAGAGCGAAGGAAGGGGGAAGCAGAAACCGGGCAGTCTTCGCCATGGGAGTTGGTCTGTCTATCATTGTAGACCCATAGCACTTCGGAGCAGCGAGATGAACGGCCTTTTGCTCCTTCGTTTTGCTTGATGCTCAATGCTTGACATTAGTGCGTTTTACCAACCTCCCTCACGTCTATAAACGAATGAATGAAAAATACTCGACATATAGAGAGCAGAGATACACAATCTCCTAAAGCTGATACTATGTCACTCTCAACCGTGTCTCTCATTTTGTACAGTGCCATATATGATATGCTATATTGTTATTGTTTATATATATACTAGGCATCCATATGTAGATGGATATTATATATATTATATATTATCGTTCCCAATCTCACTTCAGCACTAGAAGACCTCCCATCCTTTCCTATTTTATCCTATTCCTACCTATAGTACCAGCCTAGCTAACTAGGAAACTACACACAGAGGAGAAGGAGAAGGAGAAGGCGAAGGAGCTACCCCATGCATATTTTATGCTGTCATCCCTCTCTCAATGCTTGCCATTTCTATTGTGTCGGTATCATTGTGGTAAATGGGCGGATATGCATTGAAGGGGCCTAGGCCAGAGCAAAGAAAGGAAAGAAGAGGAGCAGCAGGCGAGACAAAGGTGGTGAAGGATCGGTCAGGCAGGCAGGCAGGCAGGCAGGCAGGCAGGCAGGCAAATAACCACGAGGTATTTCAAAGTGGTGAATGGCTGACCTGTCATCCATGGTGACCATGTCAAAAATGATATCATTATCGCCGACATATCGTTGCACTATCTGAAGCCGCTGTCGCAATCCTCACCGACACCTCGGGATTCAGCCCACCCACGTCGTTCAGGCATGAACCAGTCCTCGATCAATCGCGCTGGAGAGAAGGCGGGACATTCTACCCGCATAGACTCGCTCCCCAACAGTCCATAGACGCCACGCGGCCAGCATTTGTTTGTTTGTAGTCAACCGCACCTCATTTTGATCCAGTACTTGTTCCCAGCCAGTCCATCGATGTTGTAAAGGGGGAAAACCATCAGCCAATAACTCCAGTTCGCCCGACCAGTCGATTGATAAGAGAGAGAAGGAATGGCATGTCGTCGCACCAGAACTCCGCCCAGAACATGTTCCGTTTGTCGCCAGTCTCGAAGGTGCAGCAGACCATCGCAGCGCCATGTTAACGCATGCGCTGCAAAAGGACTTGGCTCAGATCAATGTGTCTTCTCCTGATATCCTCACCGGCCACGATAACCACCCGTGGAAGGTACAAGGACGCCGGTGCGTTGACTGCTGTATCTGGCGCAGCCAGGACACAAATTATGGCCGCAATGCTGACATTGACAGATCGTAGTGTGGGTCTCTCTGCATTTCTGGCATTGCCAGACTAAAGGGACACCACTTGGAGCGGAGATTTTCACATAGTGGTGCATCGGACATTGTGTATAAGTGTATCTAAAATTAAGCCGAGTGTTGGCTGGCTAGATGGAGTCCTCAGCATTAGCGAGACTCAGCGGTTCAGCAGAGCCGCTGCGGCTGTGGAAGGGGATTCGAGACTCACGTCGGTGTTGGTTTTCGGATTCGACATCTTCAACTATTCAAGTTCTGGCGCAATAGAATATTTGGAAGGTCGTATCAAGGCTGCTCGTGCGGTAAGACTTTTCAGGGTATTGGTTAGGCGGATGGTCAGAGAGATTGGAAGAGATCGAGCGATATTTATAGCAGCCGTCTGTTCATTCAAGTGAAACCCGAGGGACGGCATGGCGATTTATCAGGCTTCGACGCAACAACTGGCGGGCATTCACGGATCGTGACAGGCAAACAAATCAATGACACCGCTATACTGCTGTCACTTGGCGTCGAGAATGTTAGGGGCGACTGGTGGCTGCCGCTTTGAAGAAATCGGCCAGGGAAGGAGAAGTCCTGGTGGTGGCATTGCCCGCGTGGAAATCCTTTACTCTTTCAGCAGCGTTTCTTACTACCCTTTAACGGGATGGCTCCAGAGAGACACAGGGTCACCTTCGACGCTGATTGAGCGAATGGAACGCTTGAACGCTTGAACGGCAAGTAGCATTGGACCTATTCCATCCGAAAGAGAGTTTTAGGTATCCCATAGCTCAACGGGAAAGCATCCGCCCGGTAGCCTAACACCTCAGCTCGTGTTGTGTCTTGAGCAGTACTCCTGTGCCCACATCCAGCCTGTACTTGGGTAGGGGATCCGACGAGAATAGTGCATCGCGGGTTGACCACCCCATTCCAAGTCGTGAGCCAAAATTAGAGTTTCCCATGAGCCTGAGAGCGTGCAGGATGACCTGCCGCTCTTGTGGTTAGACAAGCTTCCGAGGAAAGGGACAGCTTGAGGGAGTCATGCCATAGTCGAACCGGCGTGGGATGAACTTGCGACTATCCTGACCGAGGGTTGGATCTGTGGGCCGGCCCAGGCCCCTGCAAGGTTCGATAGTCCATGCTCCAGTCTTCACGGGGAGCGGATGTAACCAAGTGGCTTTTGCCTGACGGTCCGGAGTCTCAGCTGTTTCGCCCTCGATCGGAGAGCCTTTTAGAGCGGCGGGCGACGCCTAGAGCTTTCCGGATGAACCAAGCTACGCAATGTTGAAGTGTGAGGCGAAAGACAAGCCACAATTCCCGGGACAGTATTGCCTAGCGACGCCGGTCTAGTGGTTCTCGCGGTGTAGTCCGATCGTCTTTTAACGAGGTGTAGTGTCGATCTTTTACCGAGCGATTTCCAGATCTAACCCTTGCAGGCCCTGTAGTTGGATTTTTGCGGGCCCCTTGCGACCCCCCCAAAGAATGGCAAGCGACAGATTTCACTGAGTTCGCCCACAACACTCCCCCAAACCGGATCCGTTCCCTTCCCAATTAGTTGGTCCCGGCTGACGACTCGCTCTCGAAGATGCGCTAGCTAGTCCCTAGGCAAGCCCCGCAGCTGCGACAGAACGCGTGCCCTGATTCTCAGTGGGCAAAAGAGAAGCATTTTGTCTCGAGATTGCGTGCGCTTCCGTCTGGTTCAGCTCTCCACTCCTCAAGCTCTACACCACAGGGCGTCGTATGTAGTGGGTGAAATAAAAAGGAAAATTGCCCTCTAATAATGTTTCATGGTAATACAATTTGGCTCCTGTCGCAGTTGTAGTTGTGAACAGTCTCCACTTCGACGTGTCCCGCGATTTTGACCCTCCTGTTGTCGGATGAAAGGAAAACCAAAAGACGGACTGAAGCTGTCATGTATCCCTGGGTGCAGCCGCACCGAGAATTGGAGGTAGATCCGGATGATTCTGCCATGTCGGTCCCGTGTCGTCGAAAGAAAACGCTTCGTAGGTTGAAGCTGTCTTTCGCCTTGCGTCACCTAGGAGGTAGCAGTGATTGGAGGAACCGAAAAAGAAAGGAGCACCGTCCCTTCCCGGGTTGTTGGCAACTCCGTGCTCGAAACGAAGGTGGCGTGAAAAAAATCCGAAAGTTGTCGTAACACAACAGGACATCCTGGCTGACGGGCTGCATGATGGCGTTGTCAATGTCGGGAGCGTGCCGATGAGATTTCAGGCTCCTGGTGGGCGCTGTCGAGGCATACTCGTGAGCTCATAATGAAGAGACATGTTGTTCCTGCCTTACGGGGACAGCAGTAGTACCGAATGTTAGCATTACGTGTTCTGAAGCGCTCATAGATCGTGGAAAGCGATGGGCCATGTCGTTCTTCGATGAGGCCACATCAAGGATTCATGACACTTATTCGCGTAAATGACAAGCGGCGGTGTGGCAGGGAGCTTTGATTAAGGTTTCTGGCTGCGGGAGGGAGTCAATCGACAAGACCTTCATGCATTCAACTGAAACAGCGCCGACATATCCTCTGCAAAATGTTCGAATCAGCCGGGGTTTCTCAGGCTGGGCGTCTGCACTTACCTCCGTGGTGATTGCGTCGGATGGCTTCTGCCAGGAGATTCGAGAGGTCGATCATTATCAGTTTCTTCGAGGCACGGATCCGCTCAGGCGCTAGGGGAAACGTATTGGTCACGACGATATAGTCAATGTAGTCGCATGCTTCCAACTCCTCCAGGGAGTTTTCGCCAAATAGTCCATGGACTGCGATACAGTACACCTTTCTGGCATGGCCGATCTTGACACAGGTTTCGGCGGCCGCAATCCACGAACCAGACCGATCGACGATGTCGTCCATCATGAGCACTGTCTTGTCCTTGACATTTCCTACCAAGGTGATGGTGTGTTCCAGGTCGGGATTCTTGATGCCCTCCTCTTCCTCATCCGACGTTGCGGCTGCGTCAAATGTCCCACCAAGCGCATGTTCAGGTTGAAAAGACGAGGCATTGGATACAAAGGAAGAAGTCATGGGGTCGTTGGTGGGGGGATCTGGCCCGTCTTGCAGAGATCGCTCGCCCATAAAATTGGCAAGGGAAGCTGACATGCTTGACATTGCCGAAGAGGGATGGTCTTCGTCCACCAAGTGCCCTTGAATCAGCCGACCCACGACTACATCGCGTGCCCGCTGATCGTTGTGTGCTTCGCTAGCTTCGTATTCGGAGGGTCGACGTGCGCTGGGAACTGCCTCAATTCGGGGGGACGGGTCGGGCGACGCAGCAGGGGAGGGAGACTCCACCCTTGCCGCCTGGACCAGGGGGCTTGACGCAATGGTGACTGCCTTGGGCCTGCCAACGCCGGAGCGGTTGACACCATTCAGTAGGGGAACCCTGGCCCTCGCACGGTGCGGAAGCCCCCTGTTGTGTGACTTTTCGGATTCGCTGTCGGCATCGTCGGCGTCGTCCCCATCCAGCAGGTTGTCGCGATAGCGGATGGACTGTGGCTCAATGGCATCGAAGAATACGGTGCTGTCCGCTAAACCGTTGTGGTGGTGTGAATGTCTGGAACGATCTTTGTCGGTGGATACAAGGGCGAAGCTGAGCTTCAGGGCATCGGCGAGTGAGGTGACTCGTTTGGTGCCGCCCACATTCTTGCTCACCACGACTGCATCGTGCCAGCGGGGAACGTTGCCCTTGATCCACCGAGCAATAATCGGTTCGGCAAATAGGTTGTCGACAGGCTTGCCAAAGAACCCTTGCATCTGCGAGGCATGAAGGTCCACAGTGATGACGTGGTCCACTCCTGCTACCACCATGAGGTTGGCCAGCATTTTCGCAGTGATGGCGCCTCGATGGCTCTTCTTCTTGGATTGGCGAGAGTAGGGAAAGTAGGGAATGACGGCGGTGATGGACTTTGCTGAGCCGCCCTTGCATGCAGCAATCATGATGAGCATTTCCATGACACTGTCGTTGATGCGAGGGCTTCCACTCTGCACGATGAAGACATCTTCGTTTCTAACGGAGACGCCTATCTGGACGCTGATTTCTCCGTTTGCGAAGTTGCCCAATTCGCATTTGGCGGGCGAAGAGCCCAGTCTTTCGCAGATAGACTCGACAAGCGCCGGATGAGACCTTCCGGAGAAGACTTGGACGCCTCGCATTTTGTCGTTCCCAACGGGTATGAGGTTGAGTAGAATGAAAACAACGTGAAAAGGAAGAGGCTAACAACTTCGGCCCCAAGTAGTGTAGCTTCTCGACTCAACTCAATGTCATCCCCTTCAGGCAAGTTTGGTCCTTGGGTTCTTTCATTGTTTAGGGGTGTTACACAACGGTTGACAAGGGCCAGTGTGTTAACCAGAAGCAAAGCAAGAGTCGAGGAGGAAGTGACTTTTTTTGTGAGTGAAGATCAAGCCAACCAATCATGACGCTCCTCGTATTGAGCACGTGACAGCGCAGTGGAAGAAGGAAAAGTTGCGGCCAGACCATCACAAAATCCCCCACTCCAGGGTATTTGCCGAGTTGTGTCGCTGTCAGACAGATTTTCCTATTGTCTCCCTCATTCGATTCCTCATCATCCAGTCTGAAATCAGCCGGACACAACATCCTCCGGCGAGTGCCTCGATGGCATGTGTTGACTATATCACTATGCGCCCACCATGCCTTCCAAATTCCCAGAGATCCAGAGCGGAGGCTCCCTGATTGTCGCATGGCAGATCAAAGGCAAGGAAGTTCTCGTGATCGGTGGTGGTGAGGTATGTTCCGCGGGCAATGTCTTGGGAGACTGTAACACACAGCACTAACTCGCACGGCGTCTTTAGGTCGCTGCCGGCCGGATCGTCAACTTACTCAATGCCGACGCCAAAGTAACGGTTGTGTGCCCGCGTGGGGGCCTGAATGAAGAGGTGGCATATCGGGTCGACCAAAAGCAGGTCAAACATGTCGACCGAGTTTTCCTCCCTCTCGACCTCGAGCCTGAAAAGAAAGTGGCCATGGTCCTCAGCGCGATCGACGACCCGGAGGCATCCACGCGGATATGGAAATACTGTCAGACAATGAAAGTGCCCGCCAATATCGCCGATGTCCCTCCGGAATGCGATTTCTACTTTGGCAGCGTCCACCGCGACGGTCCTCTCCAGATCATGGTATCTACCAACGGGAATGGGCCTAGGATGGCGGCGGCTCTCCGGCGACAGATTGGCGACATGCTACCCAAGGGCACGGGAGACAGCATTAAGAAGGTTGGACAGCTGAGGAGAATGCTCCGGAAAGCAGCACCGGGCAAAAGCACGCGCGACATCAGCAGGAGGATGAGCTGGATGAGCGAGGTCTGTGACAAATGGAGCGCCGAGGAGTTCAACGCCATGGACGAGGAGGACATGGACAAGCTGGTGCAATTCTACGAGCGGGGCATGGTGCCGAGCTTTGAGGAGATTCGGCTTGGATATCGCGGAGATGTGGTCTGGGAATTTGACGGGTCATTTGGATGGATGTAACAAGCATTTTTCAGGGACGAGGATGTCGATTCTTTTCAGCACCATCACCGCCGCGGGGAGCCGGCGGGTTTTGTTTGCGGCATTGATCTCGGGGCAGACGTGGAGACCTACCTCTAGAGCTGCACGCGGGATGTAGCCAGCGACACGGGTGATGGCAGTGGCGCCAGGGCGGGCCAGTGGGTGGCAGCCGGTGACAGTGGCTGGTGGTGTAGGAGGGGAAATAGGTGAACAGGCGGAATGACGTAGTGGGTGGTGGTGCCAGCTGAACATTCCGACAAAGTTGACAACAACCGTTACTACCAGTAATAATATGGCTTGACCTGCGAAAGCTGGGCAATTGGGTCGACCACGTCCGAAAAGTATATTTCCACATCTCATCTGTCGAGAGTTTTCTCGTCTGCAGTCTCTGTCTCTTCTTCCTTCTCCCATCGTTCCATTGCTTCCGTTCGGTTGAGCCGATATTTCATTCTTGACCGCATTGCTCCCGGCACGCCCCCTCCTCGACAAATACGCCGGGCCCCGAATCGCGCTGCCTCACTCCCCTTCAGTGAACCTGGAAAGGGCTAATAGCAATCAACAGCATGCAAGCTCTCCGTGACAAGCTCAAAGGTCAGCCTTAGTCAACCATTCATGCCGGACAGGCAGATGATGATCCCCCTTTAGATACCAAGCTGCACGATGCCAAAATTGAGGCTATTCATTTCAAGCACAAGATTGGCAAACTCAAAAACCTCGTCAACAAGAACCATCGTCATGACGAGGCCCATGAACAAGAGACGGACCGCAAGAGGACCGCCATTTGCCAGTCTCACCGTTTTGAGTCCTACTTTCCCGAGCGCGACAACAACCGCATCAAGTGGTATGTCGACGGTCGCGACTACTTCTGGGCCGTCTCGGTTGGCCTTGAAAATGCCAAAGAGACTATTTACATTGCCGACTGGTGGCTGTCGCCCGAACTCTTCTTGCGCCGCCCGCCCTTTTTCAACCAGGAATGGCGTCTGGACCAAACCATCAAGCGCGCCGCCGAGCGTGGCGTCCAAGTCTACGTGATTGTCTACAAGGAGGTGCAGCAAGCCTTGACCTGCAATTCCGCCCATACCAAGCATGCCTTGCGAGCTCTGTGCCCCGAGGGCAGCCCCGGCCACGGGAATATCCACGTCCTGCGCCATCCCGATCACAACGTCTTTGAGAACCTTGGCGACATGACCTTTTACTGGGCTCACCATGAGAAATTTATTGTTATTGATTATCACCTCGCCTTCGTCGGAGGCTTGGACCTTTGCTATGGGAGGTGGGATGTCCGCCAGCATCTCCTGGCTGACGTTCACCCTTCAGGAGTAGTCAATGAAATCTTCCCAGGACAAGACTTCAATAATAACCGGTAAAGTATCACGGAATCTTTGACCAGCCCGAACTGATTGAACGTGCACAGGATCATGGACTTCCACACGGTGGAGGACTGGTCGAACAACGAACTCAATAAGACCGACTATGGCCGAATGCCATGGCATGACGTAGCAATGGCTGTAATTGGTGAGTCTGTACTAGACATCGCCGAACATTTTGTGCTCCGATGGAACTTTGTCAAACGAGACAAATACAAGCGAGATGAGGGTGTCGACTATCTGTGTATGACCACTCGAGCTAGGGCCGATGGCTCCAATCCCGACGAAGACCTCATTGCGATCCAGAGACCAAAACACCCCGTGGGCAAGTACATTGAACATCCTCTCAGCCCGCTCGAGGGCAAGGGCCTTCAGAATGTTGGCAGTGTCCACGCCCAGGTCGTTCGCAGCAGTGACGACTGGAGCAGTGGCATCCTGCTTGATCACAGCATTCAAACCGCGTATGCAGAAGTGATTGAGAGTGCCCAACACTACGTCTATATTGAAAACCAATTCTTCATCACGGCTACTGGCGAGCATCAGTCGCCCATCCACAACAGAGTCGGCCGTGCAATCGTCAATGCCTGCGTCCGCGCCGCGAAGGAAAACCGCAAATTCAGGGTCATCATTCTCATCCCTGCCATCCCAGGCTTTGCAGGCGATCTTCGTAGCGATGCTGCCGTCGGTACCCGAGCAATCATGGACTATCAGTACAAGAGCATCAATCGAGGTGAGCACTCTATCTTTGGGCAGATCAAAGCCGCCGGCGTGGACCCGTCCAAGTACATATTCGTCTTCAACCTGCGCGCATATGACCGCATCGACAAGACCCCGTCACTCATTCAACAAGAGAAGGAATCCGGAGTGTCCTATCAACAGCTGCAACGTGCCGAAGCCGAAGAGATTATGGCCAGCGGCATTCATGGGTATGAAGGCGAAAAGACCGAGAAGGAATCCCGCGGTACGGGGGCCCAGGTCAGTGAAGATGAACAACACGCCATCATCGACCGGAAGCGTCAATTTGAGGCTGCGCGTAAGAAACTCGATGTCAAGGACCCCGTCACTTCGGCCGAATCAATAGCCGAGGACGCCATGGCTCGTGGCGGGCTTGTCAGTGAAGAAGCATGGGAAGGCGAACCTGAGGCCGAGAAGGACAACTTTGTGCAAGAGGAACTCTACATCCATGCAAAATTGCTGATTGCGGACGACAAGACAGTGATTTGCGGATCGAGCAACATTAATGATCGCTCCCTTTTGGGGTCGCATGACTCGGAACTCTCCATCGTCATGACCGACACCAAAGTCCTTGAATCGACCATGGACGGCAAGCCTTACCAAGCAGGCTACCACGCCGCCTCACTACGCCGCCATCTCTGGCGCGAACATTTGGGACTGGTCGAAGCGCAATCCGTTGACGCCTCCAAGGACCCGAACGCCCAGCCACCCACCGTATGCATGAACGAAGAATACTCTGGGGAGGAGTGGGAGTTTGTCGCCGACCCCTTGTCCGATGCTCTCTGGGAGAAATGGACAACCCAAGCCACCATCAACACTGACGTCTATCGATACCTATTCCGCGCGGATCCGGACAACCATATCAAATCATGGAAGGATTACGACGACTTTGCACCGCGCAAGACAATCAAACAGGGCCATTTGCACGATCCCCATATGCCGGTTGAGCTTGTAAGGAAGGAACTGGACAAGATTAGAGGACATCTCGTTTGGATGCCCCTGGATTTCTTGTGCGAGGAGGAGATGGCGGAGAGGGGCCTACAAGTTAATGCTTACACGGAGGTGAGTTTTTTCCGGTGGAGCGAGGCGAAGCAGTATAATACGGGGCACGCTTTATTATCCCTCACCCTCGATGCGTATTTCTCCTTATCCAGAAGTTTTCGTCTGGGCATTGCTAATTGTGGTGGCTCTCTGCAGAGTGTATACACTTGACACCGACGGAGGAGATGCCTGAAGCCCGTGGCCGGAACAGTGGGCTTTGGGAATCAGGAAGTCTGTGTGATTGTTCGGATTCTCTTCGGCGCGTCGCAGGCATGGTTGGAATGGTAAAGCTGGGTGCATATGCATATTGTGTGCGCACAAACTGGAAACCGGTTGTGGGTGGGCTTGGGACGGCTTTTGTGCCAAAACACAAGCGCTTCAACAGCCTGATAGGTAGCCGCACGGATGGTGCCTGGCTAGGTTAGGGTGGCCCAAGGCTGAAGATCGTCATGCCATGCCATGTCATGTTCATGGCGCATCACTTCTAATGAATCATGCGTTTTTGTCAATCCTTTGTTGTCCCTTGCCTCTCTCTCCTTCTCACACAGCCTCAACATCACCGTCATCAACACGATCGACATCTTCAGCCGCAGCTTTTAACCTCCCCCACGCTTCGTCCCCTCGTTCCTCCCACTCCCTGGCGCGACCCAACACCCTTCTCGCCGCGCTGCGCGCCTTGAACCGCCATTTCTGCTCGACAATCCCCCCGGTGCGCTCGCGCTGCATGGACCCCAAGGCGCGGTAGCGTGCCATGAGCCACAGCGTCTTGTCCACGACCTCGTGCCACCGGTCGCGCGACAAATTGTTAAAGTCCTCCCCGCCGGAGAAGGAGACGGAGGAGAGGGACGTTGACGAGAGGAACGCGCGCCATGATTTCTCGGCCCAGAGGAGAGCGGAGGATGGACGCCGGCGCCACATTGAGATGCGGGAGAGAAGGGTCAACAGTGTCGGCGAGGAGGTCGCGAGAGGGCCTATCAACGTGTCGATTAGATGGAGGAAGGAGCGCGGGATGTACGGGAGTCTGCCCCCCGTTGTCGTTGTCATTGGCGATGTCGTCGTCGATGAGAGTGTTGTAGTGGCGCCGGCGTCTGTTGTTGGTGTCGACGTCGGCGCTCCATCCTTCTCCTTCTCCTTCTCAGCCTGGTCATAGCCATGGCCGTTCTGTATTTCCTCCGTTTGCATTTCCTCCGGCCCAGCCACCTTCGCGGTACCTGCTTCCTCGTCACCACCAACGCCCTTCATTTGGCCCTGCCCGGCTCCGTTGTCCTCTTCCGTCTCCGTTGAAGGATACGTCCAAGTCTCTGTGACATAGTCGGTCAGAACAGCCAAGATCTTCAAATCTATACAGTTCTCTCCTTCCTTCTTGCCTCGCAGCTCCACCACACGGCCCATCGCCTGGATGACTTCCCCCCACGGCGTGTTTGCCGACGGTGGTATGCTCGCCGCGACAGTGAGGTAGTTGTCCCAGATGCGCGCGTCGTCGCGTTTCAGGGTGGCGGCGCGGCGCAGGGCCCGGAGGGCGTCGCGCAGGTGCCGGTACGGGTCCGGGGGATGTGTCGAAGGAAGAGTAGAATCCGCCGTGTCGGCGGTTGTTGGTACTTTGCTGTCGTGCATCCCGCCACCACCGGCAGGCGCCGTCGCAGCAGCAGACTCACGGTCTGTTTGGTCGGGCACATCCACTGTCCCGGCCACAGGTGCGGGCAATCTCAACAGCGCAACGGCCAGGTTCGACCAGCTCTCCGCGTCCTTGTCGTCCAACTGTACACATCGCGTGAAGCTCTCAACCGCGGGCATCCACTCCGCCAGTTCCAGTTGCAGACACCCCAACGCGAACCAGCTGCCTCGGTCGAGGCGGGAGATATTCAGCGCCAGAGTGTACGCCTCTACAGCGCGCCGGAACTCGCGCTTCTTGGTGTAGTGCCGGCCAAGTGAGCGCTGTGCGCGGGCGTACCGGTTCGAAGAGACGGACCAGGCGAGAGAATAGTACGAGGCTTCACCGGTGATGTCGCCTAATATGCAAAGCAGGCGAGGGGCGTCTGCTGGTGGGGGAGAGCGAAGTCGCTCCTTGTCTATAATATCTGCAGCACCATCCGGCGCAAACAGCAAATCTTTCAGCAACTCCACAGCCTTGCCCTCCTGGTCCGTCGCCGCAAGACACAATGCCACCTCCGCGTACATCTGTAGACGGTAGTAAATGTCCAGGGCCGTCTTGAGGCCGCCCATCTGCGTCCAGCGCTGAGCGAGTTCGGCTTCGAGCTCCCACCGCAGCGGGGGGGAGAGTTGGTAGATGTATTTTAGACGTTCCGCCACGGAGGCGGACTCGGAAGAGTTCGGTTTAGGCAGGAATGTCGTTGTACTTGATGTTGTCGACTGGGCTGCATTTGATTTTATAACGGACGTTGGTGATAGGTTCTTGGTTTCTGATGATGGGGAAGAGTTTGAGTCCGGCGTTGTCGTTTCAACAATGACTTGATCAACTAGCGCCTGCAACTGTAACAATCCTCTCTCGGCGGTCCGGGCTCGGTAGCCTTCTATCCTACTCCTGACAAGAAGGGCTTGAGTGTAGACTTGCCAATTGGACGATCCTCCTTCCAGGACTCGAGTGGCGTAGGGCAAGGTCTCTTCCCTCACCAGGCCGTCGTCCGGAGAGGTGTTGGTGATGCTGCTCGCGGTGGCAAGAAGGATGATGCTGTCCGTGGGGAAGAGCAGCGGCTGGTTGGCCGGATTGAGAGATGCCAGTTGCGGTGGGATGGTTGTTGAGCCAGAGGGTGCAATGTGTGTCATGGTGTCTTCTGACACCGGTGCCGCTGGGGTGGTAGAATGGAATTGGATGCGTTCGAGGAGGGTGTCGTCGTTGAGAGGGAGGCTCTCAGGTTTGGTCGCAGCAGGGCTGTCACCTATAGAAACAGGTTCATGACGGTCACCACCCTCTGCAATAGCCTCGCTGGATTTCACACCCTCGACTTTACCGCCCTTGCGATTGCTATAAGGCTCGGGTTCACGGTCTCGACTTCTGGCCAGAACGACGAGTTGACTGATATCCCTGTCCTGAAACTTGGTCCTTTTGCCCAGCGCACCGGTCAGCAAAAATTGAAACTGTCGCGTCGTTGCGGCTTTGGCGAGGTCCGCCCGTGCCAATGCATCGTCACCGTAGTGCGTGCGGACCACCGCTCGCTCGATGAGGAACTCAACAAAATGTTCTTCGGCAGCTGCGCCGCCAAAGGCTAAACGAGAAGTGAGTTGGCGTTCGAGAACCTCGGCGTCTAAGTGGATGATGTCCCGAAGAGAGGGAGATTCCTCCGAAAGGAGCTTCTGATGCCAGAAGTTGACTCGGAAACGTGCCCGTCGGCCATTGAATCCAGCCTCAGCCAGCGTGGGATTCGACAAGATGACTTTGGCGAGCCAGAAGAGCTCGATGTGTGGTGTCAATGGGTACGGGCGAGATCCATCGGCGGAAAGATACTCAAACAGAGCTCCTTTCAAGGATTCGAAGTTTTCAGCTCGGTATGCCTGTGGAAAAATGACTTCTTCCGTGTTGAACTCCAAGGGTGGTCCCGTACAGTTGGCTTGCAAGAATGCCTCGAGGGCGGTATACCCGATCTTGAGGAATGAGAGCTGCTGCATGGCATCGTTGAGCAAAAACTTGATCCGCGACGTCACCCCGCCAATGAAGGGTATAGGTTCGGCGTGTATGGCGTCAAAGCCCAGCAATTTGCGAGTCAATGGGTCCTGCAGAATTTCCAGGAATGAAGTTCCCATCTTGGGGTAAGGACAGAGGTGCTCCATTGCAGCTCGTTGCCTGTCTTCTACTCACGATCTGCCGCGTATTTCCCGTGATGGGATAGGTGCGAAGGTTCTTGTCGCAGATTGGCTGCTAGACTTCTGCGTCTGGGCCAGATCGAAGGCCCCTCGCGGGAGTCCAAACTTGTCTCTTGGTCCTGATGGTGAGTTCGATCTCAGGATCCGCAAGTAGAAAATTGCACAAGTACAACGCCACCCAGCCTGCGTACTGAGTAAAATACTCCCCAATCGCTTCGGGGATTTATCAAGGCACTAAAATGGAATTTTCTTCCTATTTTCTCTTGTGGATTTCGCGACAGGAAAAGTAATTCCAAGGCTCTCGGTCTGGGCTGTACAAACCTGTTGGGGAAAGAAAGCAACTCTCCTTTAAGAGGCTTCGACGGCAGCATCCTCTGAACACTGTGACAGATGGCAAAGGCAAAGAGAGGACCTGAGCTGGAGCAAAAGGAGCCTCGTGGCGAATGAGGTGGAGGCCAACTTCGCCTTGTCTCTCTGGTGGAAAGACAAAACAAGAGCACAGAAGAAGCGGGGCAAAGTGGAAAAAAGATCCTCCGTGTTTGCACTCACGTGCAATTGAATTCATTTCGTTTCACTCGTATAAAATTCTGTAATCCCTCTCTTCTGCCCGGACAAGAAACATGCTCAGATAGATCTCAACGGCTGCTGTTGTTGGTACAAATCCAAAATCGCTATTCACACATCCACAGTAAAACGAGGGTATCTCACAAGAAGTATCAAAATCTGCTTATCTCTTCGGGCCCTCCCATCTCGGTCGGTTGCTGAAGCCAAAAAAATCATCTTCACTCAAATGGCTTTTCTTTTTGTCTATATCCTCTTGCCAGTTCGACCGGCCTGAGCCGCCTTTCTCTTTCTATACACACTTCTATATTGGATCCGGCCAATGGTGCCCAGTCCATATGCCAGAAAGAACAAGAATGTCCAGGCACAGGTGACAATCAACCCCGTGGGGAAAATGCCTAGGCTCGTCCCGGGCAAGACGAAAGGAACAGCAGCGGTGATTGCTGCGGCGGCAACGGTTGGGCCGACGAGCCCCCCTTTGAATTCGTCCTTGAATTGCCCAATCACGAACCATGCCCCGTCGGCCGCGCTGACATTGGCCATGATGGGCATTTGAGAGTTGGCCGCGTTCAGCTTGATGTCCGGCAGCATCAGCGACATGATTTGAGTGTCGTTCAACATGGCAAGGTTCAGGCTCTTCTCAAACGTGCCAAAGAGGGTGTATTGTTGCACCTCGGCCATGCTGTTTTGTCGCGCCTCGACATCTCGCTTCCTCCGCTTGGTCAACGACTGGAACGTGGTGCTGGTGGGATACGTCAAGCTGATCATGATGTCGTTGACAGGCACATTTTCGAAGTTGCCTGTTGGCTGAAACATCTGATAGAGTCGGAGGTCGGCCTCAAAGGCACCTTGTTTGCTGTCGTATTGCAAGATGTTGTAGCACGCGGCGAGGCCAGCTGCGTTCTCGACCGAGCTGAGTGTTTTGAGAGCATTGACGCAAGCCGTCGCAATTGTTTCGTTCAATGCTGTCGTTGGTGCGGCCACTGAGAGTGAGCCGGTCGAGGACTGCGGGTCTCGTCGGAAGATTCTGTCGGCATCTCTCTCCATCCCCTCCCAGGTATTTCTCCTTCTGATCGCGTTGGGCAGATGCAAAACGGCTTTGGCCGAAATGATGTCCGCCTCAGCCAACAGCAACAAAGCTGAGGCCACAATGGTTGTCAAATGCATTTTTGGTTGTTATGCTGGTTTTTAGTAGTGACTGTGAGGGGTCGTTGGAAGTGTCTAAAGTGGTCGTCGAGACCGGTGATGATGAGACCAAGCACAGCTTGTTGGGAAAGGAATGTAGGCACGGCCAGCGACTGCCAGTAAAGAACGGGAATGCTCAGAGGTAAGAGGGAAGGAACCTGCCCACGAGCATGGAGGTTGTTGAAAAGGATGGAAAAGAACGAGCGAGGGACAGGAGCAAAGGGAGAGTTGTTGCTGGCCTGTGCAAAAGAGTGGTCTGAGGAGTGTGACGACGAAAGTGGAGGGCCGGGATCAATATAAAACGTTTACTGTAGGGGAACTCCCTCGGCCAAGGGTGAGTGACACATGTCGGTTGACTGGAATGGAGGCCTTGGGTCCGTGGGTGACCATGACCATTTGCCCAACCTTCCTACCTAGGTATGGCACAGGAGGTCATAGGTAGAGCCAGGGTGGTCGGTACACCGTACTCAGTACGGAGCACCACCGACCTACCTACTAGGGGGCAAGGAGAGGAGACTTGAAGGGACTGCACTGAGGACGGTCCTGGACGGTCGAGAAAGAAGTGGATTCTGGTATGAAACAATCAGTACATACCCACGACACGCGAAAGTGGGATGTCGCAACAGAGGTTGCACGGTGCGAAGCTAGAGCGAGTCGCTGAACATGGTTCTATACCTGGCGAGCCAAGCAGAAGGAGAGGGAGGGGCAGGTCGAGATACAAGCTCCTGTGGAGCACACAATGGTGGTTGAACTTGGCGTTGCAATTGTCCTGGTGCCACTGATGTCGGTGTGCACCCGAAAAGAATGGTCCTCTTGGTCCAGGAGAAGGGATGTCTCGCAAAGGGCTGTTCACCCCCGGCACATTCGACACAATGGCGTGCAGCGAACCAGAGGCAGGGGCAGGGGGAGGAGCCTGATATGCCAAAGTCATTGGCCAAGACGCGTGCCGGGCGGGGCGCGGGCGGGGCGGAAGGGAAAAAGGAGGCGTCGTGGCGTCCCCGCCTATCGTTACAGGATCGGACTCGGCATCGTGAAACGGCGCCACTGTACGGAGTATGGCCATGCTTACCTGGTAGCCGTTGTCCATTGGCCCCTTGGCGCTCTCCCTAAATGACCTCCTTGATTCATTCGCTGCCAGCGTCCGACTTTGTTTTCCTCTTCGTCTCGTCCAACCTCCAGCAACCTGTTTCGAGGCCTGCATTTCGGCGATTCTGGACCAACCAACCGTCCATGGCAATGAGAAATGGGAAACTGACAAACTTCATAAGTTGGCCACGCCGTCTCGCCGTGTTATTCATAGTTAACCGCGCGCAGGAAAGGCTGGCATCGCCATGAGCTTGGTACTATTGCCAACGAGGCTGGCGGCTTTGATTTCTCTCTGTTTGCGCGCGTGACGAGGTACTATGTACAAAAGTAGCACATTAACATCGAACAAGTATCCAGTAGACATTCCACAGGTATCCATCGATTGGATCAATTCGGTGGACTTTGTTTGCCAACTGCCCCCAGCCTCGACAGATTGCGCAATGCATTCACGTAATTGGTCACACAGATCAGTGGCAATGTCAATAAGATGAGCATTTTGACACCCGTGACCAGTCGAAACATACATATCCATGCTTGGGCTTGATCCAACTCACCTCGTGTGCCCATCTGATCTCGTCAATCACCTCATTGCCCGACACATGATCTAGTCCTTGGACCCTTGCACCATCCTCAAAAAGTCCCTAACTCGTCCTAGCTGCGAGTTGTTGCTCATCTCCTTCTGTTCGCTAATGACGGCCTGCACTAGACCATCCAGCAGCTCATCAACCTTATCTTCATCCGCGCCCGTGCACAGGCTCACAATCTTCTTGTACCGCCCTTCCAGCTCCACACTGCGAGCTCGGAGCGTCTTGGCCATCTGCTCCAAGTGTTGGTTGTGTCGCTGATACACCTGCACACGCCCCGACACTACCTCCGCTCTTTCCAGACTTCCCAAGAGGTGGAGTTGCTCCTGGTTCAATGCCATCATGCTGGCGTCTACCTCGCCATCAGGGAAGAATTGCGCCACTAGCGGGAGCTGTCCCTCAAGATCAAGCCCTCTGTCTGCTTCTCCCACCTTGACGTTGTCTTGTATTGTGTTTAGCGGGTTCGTTTCGCTCAGCTCCCCGCGAAGTTTGGCCGCCGCTCGCCGTAAATTGCTGATTTTCTGCTCTAGCTCGTCCTTTTCTCGCACTTTGGCTCGAGTCTCTTCCAGCCGTCGCCGCTCGTCAGCAAGCGAAATACCGGACTCCTTTAATGCTGCGTTGGTCTTGTCCAGAATTTCCTTCCTTTCTTTCATCTCGGCTGCAAAGTCGGCCTCGCACTGGGACAGCACTTCTCGTATCGCTGCCGCCATTAGCACCCACAGACCACTCGTTGAAAAGCATTTACTTACAGGTCATGAGTCCTTCTTGAGCCTCTTCGAAGGATTTCTGTGTGGATCCATTCGCCATTGAAGGCTGTTCGAATGCCGGAAGAGTTTGGTCAAATATATTGACGTGTCCGCCGCCGACCCCAAAATCTGCCGGGGACAAACCGCCGCGGTTGCTGATGTGGGGATCTGCACCGACCTCGAGCAGTTGATCAATGATGGTAGTCGTGCTGGTTCTTGCTGCCAGGTTCAAAGCTGTATCTCCTGTTTTATCTTGAGCATTGACAATCTCTGACATGAATTTCGCCAGTGTCATAGGACTTGATTGACTCTGACTGTTAACTCCGCCCGTCATGTCAGGCTGCACGGTTGGTTTTGATGAAGTGCCTTGTCGAATAACATACTCCAGCAAAGACTCGAGGTAGTACTTTCCCACTGCAGCCCTACCCTTTATTGCAGAGGCGACAGCGATGTGATGAAGCATTGTCCGGCCACGTCCATCTCTGACCTCGATGCTGGGACCAAGGAGCTCGAGGAGAGCTGGGAAAGAATTCTGATCGAGATTATTCCTCGCTTTGCATGCAGCGATCAGCGCGGTCTCACCGCCGCTGTTTGCTCGCCGCATGTTGAATCCTTTCTCCAACAACTTTCGAACTAGAGCGATTCGACCCAACGTGGCCGCCCAGTGTAGAGCAGTGTTGGATGAGCCGTCAATTGGTACTTCAAATTCATCACCGCTGAGTCGCAGAAAAGCCGGATGATCGTCAAAGTCGGTGCGGGAAGGGTCGATGAAAAGGTCAAGTAGAAGCTCCATCTTTTGCTCCTCCAGCAGGCCAGAGGGGTGAGGAAGTGGTTCCAGACCATAAGGGAGCGGATCAGCGCCGATGAAAGCCTGACTGTGTTGAGAAAAGAATGAGACGTTCGGCTCTGTGGGGAGGCTGTCCTGCATACTGAGGTCTATTGCACCCTCATAAAGGAAAGACGACTGCGGTGAAGGTCGAATGCGCTTGCGCGGTGGCTCTTGCGAATCTGCCGGGGGAAATTCCACAAAGCTAGCACCTTGACTCATGATTCCGCCATTTGTGCCGAAGCTATCTTGACTCGTCATGCTGGGCATACTCTGCTGGCTAGCGTACACAGCGTCCTGACTGTAACTGAATGATTGAGATTGTTTTCTCGGTCCAATGGAGCGTCGTCCGTCCATGTTCGGAGAGTCGAGCCGTGTTCTGTTCAAGGCATGAATGGCATTTGCCGCAGTGGTGGACATGCTTTTGAAAAAGGTGCCTCCGGTCGGCTGTCCAGCTGGTCGGCCGTCACCACCATACATTCTCTTTCTCTGGGCCGCCATTGCTTGCTCCTTTGTTGGCGTTTCGACGCCTTGGGAGACCCCCGACATACCGTCAGGTGTGATATCGTGCTCCAATAGCGGCAGGAGCAGCTGCTCGACCCCGTATTGTCTGCAAAACTCGCGACCGCGCTGGTAATTGACCCACGTGCCCTGATACTTTCCATATCCACCTTGGACTTTCTCATGCTCGCCGGTGATTTCTTTTTCGAGCACTTTGGTTCTTTTCCCCTTGTCGACTCCCGCTACCTTCAGGATCTGGGTCGCGTTCAGCCAAGAGTCAGCTCGGCGTCGCATGACAGCTATGCCGTTGACTTCCATTTCGAAAACAGACACGTTTGAATAGACAGCCGTGTAAATCTGCGGCTTGAGCCCGTTCGCATAATAGTCAGGTTGGGCGAACGCATTTGCCTCCGAGTAGCCACCGAAGTTATTAGGAGGTGCCATCATGCCTCCATTTGACATGGACGCGGACCCATTCATGCTATACACCATCTGTTGCTGCGCCGACAAGGTTTGCTGTTGTTGGTGCTGAGATGCCGGTCTCGGAGGTGGAGGAGTCGGCGCTGGTGTGGAAGCGATCGACTGGGGCTCAAAAGACGCCATATGGGGAGGCTGTTGGGGGAAAGCTGTGTTCATAGAATTGGAGTGGCCGTGCTGAGGGAAAGGCGGAGGGGGTTGCGCATAGACTCCTGAATGAATACCGCCCGATGCCATGATTATCAACAGATAGTAGAATAAATCGAGCCAGGTGAATTCGTCGAGAAGAAGTATGTGGACCGTGTGTCAGGACATATCGGGCGCAGGCAGCGCTATCCAACCTGTTCTGCGAGATTTCCTTCTTGGTTTACTGATAAAGGAGACCCTTCACTATGTAGCTTTTCTCACTGCTTTTCCCTTCCGACCGGAACGGTATGATGGACTCAGCTCGGCGGAAAATCCACTCCCAGCCAATGCGACCTAGTGTCAGGGCAGCACGTAGAGTGATGAGTGCGCTGCCAGGTTGACGTTCAACCGCAAGATCGGGGAGGCTAGTGTGTAGCACGGGGACGACGCTGGCAGACTTCTCGGCGCCCACCAGGACGGGATTTTCGCAGGAACTCAGACTGGACAAAGGTGCGTCGGCGCTTTGTCGCTGGGGTTGTCGGGTACAGAGCCAGTTACAAGTTGCAACCTGTGAGGAAACTGGTTCAGGTGGTTTGCGCAGCTGGTCACTCGGCTGTCCGCCAGGAAATAGAAATG